ACAAGAACAAATTTCAATGTACTCAGGAGGTGGTGGGACCAGCCAAACAACTCATTTCAACACGGATCAACAGAAAGCCAAATGATGGCAGCAAGTCTTGAAAATGCACTATGATACAGGTGTCTGCTGGTCAGCCAAGGGAAGGCCTGCAGAGAAGTGAGAGCCCTTTGACTTGTAGTAAGGATCTGGCCTGAAATCAGCATGGCTCTAGGAGACAGAAATGTGCACAAGTAACACTCCATTCTCTAGCATGGGCCAGAATCTGAGTGGGAGACCTGATAAAGATGTCCCACAGAGTCTCTCTCGTAGATCTGCAGGCAGAAAGAGCTGCACATCTACACTCCATCAAGTAGCTAAAGGTTGAGATGTAAAGCACACGGGGAATGGGAGGCCTGAGAAGAAGTACCTGGCTGTATAACCCACCTCACCTCCCCTGCCCCTGTGGAAGCCTGTGTGTAGAGAGCTGGGCCACTAACTCAGGCATTTAAAATGTCATAAAAGAAAAAAACGGTATACTTTAAGCCGGGCGCTGGTGGCTCACGCCTGTAATCCTAGTTACTCAGGAGGCTGAGATCTGAGGATCTCGGTTCAAAGCCAGCCTGGGCAGGAGAGACCGTGAGACTCCTATCTCCAATAAACCACCAGAAAACCGGAAGTGGCGCTGTAGCTCAAGTGGTAGAGCGCTCACCTTGAGCTGAAGAGCTGAGGGACAGCGCCCAGGCCCAGAGTTCAAGCCCCATGACAGACCAAAAAAAAAAAAAAAAAAGTCATAAAAGAGTGACAGCCAAAAAAAGTAAAAGGTAACAGTCAGAAAACGTTAAGGGGAAGCTTTCTGGCTCTCCTGATGGCAAAGAGGAGAACTACATAGGTAAAAACAGCACAGGGATGCTCAGCTGCTCTGAGTGGGGCTCACAGCTTGGTTGGGTCACCTTGGGGGACTCCTGCCCCCTCTCATTGTGTACATCAAGAGCTAGAACTCTTGTGTGATACAAGCAAGGTGAAAAGCTGCCAATTGCATTTCTTTGCCCTGTGCTGAGAACCTGCATTGCTGTAGTCTTCGCTATTAGTTACCTGTGGTTAGGGGATTTCTCTGGTACTGGGGTCTATAGGACAGCAGTCCCTAGTCTTTCTCATTTTCTAGCCTAAAAACCAACATACCAACTCTGCGGGTGTGTGTTGCGTTTGGAGGAGGCCACTGTCACTGAGCGCTCTGCTACCACGACTGAGTAACTAAGAATAAAAATGTCCACGTCTCTGCAATACACTACCCTACCACATTCTTGGGTGTCAGGGTTAAAAGAGATCCACTTTTCCATGACAAAATAACAGGTTCTAAAACCTAGGGCAGAGTAACATAATAGCTATGTCTCCCAGAGACACATATCAGTTTTTGTAAAAAGCCTATATTTTCCCCAAATTTCAGATGTCGAATTACTAGCTTTTTCTTCTGAGGTGAGGCCAAAATAAGTTTGAAGCAGCTTATTTGCCATATTTGGGATGTCCATGTTGGAGCAATGGCAAACATCTGGCTATGATACTTTTTGGAATTTTGACTATTTCTTCCTGGCCAGGCTGAAAATACCAACTTTTACTGAAATAGAAAAAGTCTTGGAGCATAGAACTTCATGACTGAGAATTTGTCTTCCTACTTGTTACATATTTCAACTAATGCTTCTATAATTCTTTTGTTGTTGGTGGAGGTGGTGTTTTTATTTTATTTTATTTTTCGTTGGTCATGGAGCTTGAACTCAGGGTCTGGGTGCTGTTCCTGAGCTTTTTTACTCAAACCTAATGGTCTATTACTTTGAGCCACAGCTCCACTGTTAACTCACAGCATTTCTTGCCTGGGTTGACTTCAAACTGCAATCCTCAGATCTCAGCCTCCTAAGTAGCTAGGATTTTACAGGTATGAGCCACCAGCACCAAGTACCTCTGTAATTCTTAAAAGAAAAGAAGGGGGAGGGAAGTATGGATAGTAGAACAATAAGGGAAGGGGTAACAATGCTCAACAAGAAATGTACACATTGCCTTACTCATCTAACTATAACCCCTCTGTACAGCATCTTTACAATAAAATAAAATTTAAAAACAAAAGAAAGGAAAATGGAAGCTCATCCTAATACCTGTGAGCCTACTAGAAGACAGGGAAATACGGGACAGTGGAACGTCAAAATAAAGACGACCTTCATGCTCTTCAGAGCTCCATCCCCACTTGCTTGTGAACCAGAAGAACATGCAGTCCCTCAAGACAGGCTCTCATACCTCAAACCACATCCTAGATGGTTGACTGAACCCAGGGCCTTTGAATGTGCTAAAAAGTGCTCTGCCATTGAGCTACACCCTACCCTCAGACTGCTCTTTTAATCATCAGACATCACCTTGGTCTAATACTTTCAGATAACAGAAAAGCTGTAACTCACATGAACTCTTCTCTTTTTTTTCAGTTTGCAGTACCAAGAATTGAACCCAGAGAGTCAAGTGCTCTATCGCTTGAACTCTACCTCCAGCCCAATTTCTAATGCATAAAATAGCAAATTATCCATCAGTGAAGGCATAACTGCCCTGACCTCTAGACTGAAGACAACCATTCTCGGTGGGGCCTTGGGCACCTGCCAGGCCTCTCCCTCCACTGTTACGATGTTAAAGCTGGATACACTCCATACCAAACATGGTCAGACTGAAAGCATTACTATTCCACAACTTGGCATACAAGGCAAGTAGATACAGATGGGTTTCAAGCAAACATATGTCTCAAAAGCCAAACTTCATACAGTGGAGGGCACATTTCAATGTTCAAAACCAGATAATTCATTAACTGATTGAAATAAACCAACTTTACTAGATCTCGCTCTGTCTTGCTGGTGCACATGTGTGTACACGTACACACACACACACACACACACACACACTCACACACCAGCTACTGACTGAACTTTGGACAGCCAAAGATCCAATCAATAAACATCAAAAGTTGATTAAATTGAAGCATACATCCATACACAGGGCTCTACCCTGACCCTTCCATCAAGATTTCTCTCCCCTTTTTTGCAACACTGTAACTAAAAAAAAGAACAAAAACCCACATACAGAAAGTATTTAAATCTAATTATAGTCAATATAAAGAACCACAAAAAAAAAAACCCACAAAGTGTATATTACTTCATTTATCTTAGAAAAACCTGGTAACCAAGTTTGTTTCAGCACTGATTTTTACAGATGAAAGTGTCATAAATCCTGGTAACTACTACTTATAAATGAGAATAAGCACTGATTTTAATACATTATCAATAAAAGTTCCTACTTGTACGCGCCATGACAACTCTAGACGAAAGTTTAAAATGATGCAAGCAAGCCTCAACTGTTGGTAAGCATCTGCAGGTGCCCTGTTTTCTCTAGCTCCTCATAACCCTGCACTGCGGCTTTCTGATCAATCGTCCTTACAGTCTCAAGAACCATTTCTAAGACTGGCTTCACTTTTTTTTTGTTGGTCGTGGGGCACTGGGCACTGTCCCTCAGCTCTTCAGCTCGTGAGTGCTCTACCACTTGAGCCACAGTGCCACTTCTGGCCTTTTCTGCATATGTGGTGCTGAGGAATCGAACCCAGGGCCCCAGGCTTGCAAGGCAAGCGCTCCACCACTGAGCCACCTTCCCAGCCCTGGCTTCACTTTTAAATTATATAATTCTCTCTCTCTCTCTTTTTTTTTTTAGCTCAAAGCCCTTCCTTCTTCAGCCACTGCAAATCACTTTTAGGGCTTGAGTGTCTCGTTCAGTGGTAGAACATTGTGAGGTTGAGGTCTTCATCCTCAGCGTGGCAAAAACTTAAAACATCTTGAATTACAATGAGATTCACAACATACCCAATAGAATGGCTGGAATAAAAAAAATCAAAACAATGAGGCTGAGGTTGGTAGTGCCTATCTGAAATCTCAGCCCTTGGGAAACTGAAGCAGGAGGATCTGAATTCAAGGCCAGCCTACATTACACAGTGAGATCCTGGTCTCAAAATGAAATAAAGAAAAATAAAATGTCAGGGGCTATGGCTCAGGCCTCTGGTCATAACCATTCCAGAGGATCACAGTTTGAGGCCAACCTAGGTACACAGTGCAGGCCAGTGTGAGTATAAATGCCAATACCCTACCTTGAAACAAGTAACTAAAGCAAAAAGGGCTAGAGGCATGGCTCATATGGTAGAGCACCAACCTCTGAATTCAAGTGCCAACTGCTTAGCCTGCCAATCCTCCCTCTTTCCTTCTCCTCCCTGCCTCCATTAACGCATTGCTTTGGAACAGGGTGTGACTCATTGGTTTGCATGTCTAGCAATCCTGAGGCCCTGAGTTTAATCCACAGTGTATTAAAATAAAATAAAAAGTCAAGCCAAGCACGAATGGCTCATACGTGGTTACCTGGAGGTAAGTGTCTCACAGATTTTCCTTCCTGGGCTGGCTTTGAACCCCAATCCCCAAATCTCAGCCTCCTAAGTGACTCTTACTTTCTAAACAAAAAATTCAAAGTTGACTTAGAAAAATAAAAATATACACTAATACTGTACAGTGGCTTGGGTATGTCAGCTGTCTGAGTGCTGTCGGCTACTCATCGCCCTGGCTACCATGAGAAGGAGGGGGTGAATCTGTCTCCCAACAGAGATGCTTACCCATACTGAGGCAAAGTCACATTCCCTCACCCAGGTACCCAGCCAGCTGAGCAGGAAAGATATGGGTGGAAGTAATCTGGTTGCAGATTGTTTTCAGCTGTCCTTTAAGTCAGCCTCTCAAACGAAAAACGTGAAAACATTGAATCTTTTCAGAATTTTAGATAAAAGTTAAGAGGATACCACTTGTTAAACTAAAAGAACTCATATTCACTTTTTGTAAGGATTTTTCTGTGTTCACCAAAACCCCTCTTGATCAAACTCTGGATCTAAATGTACAAGTTGGAACTAGCCAATGGAACTTGGTACCTGGTCCCTGACCTTCAGAGGGAATGAGGAATGTGCTTCTTACCTCAATGTCAAACATCTCCACGGTGTTGTCCAGCAGCTTCACGTGGATGTGCAGACACTTGTCCTGCATTCTGGATGACAGTGCCTGCCCTGGCTCCAGGGTGCTCACACCCACAGGGGTCTGGCTCCCAAGGCGTGTGCCTGCAGTCTGCAGGACTCTGTATGTTCCTTCTATCTCTCCCATTCTTCACCAGCTCAAAGTGGAGAAAATACTAAGACAAACACACAGCAGGGAATTACCATGTCACTTAGATATTATAATATGACAAAGGACAAAAATAAAGAACTAAAAAAGATTATCTTTTATTCACACACACAATATAAATAACGAACATGACCTTTAGTAACAGTATTTTCCAGGTGCCTTAACACTCGCTTTAAACCCCACGAACCATTACTAGGTGACAGAACCACCCTCACATAACAGAGGGGAGACCTCCAGTCTGGGCCCTCCCCTGGGCTTCCCAGACTCTGGCAGTGTGTGACTGTGCTGACAAGCCCACCTAAGTACATAAAGGTAGCAGGCACCACAGGGCACACATGCTGGGCAGCTTAAGTAGCTGTGCTCATCTCTCACCTCGCCTCTTACTGAGGCTGTGTGTCAGGCAGATGCAAACAGCCACGCATGTCTTTGCTGGCTTAGCACTCTGTAGTTTTCATAATTTGTGCCTCATCAGGGTAGACTGGGTGCCACTATGGCTTGGAGGGTCGTTTCTGGTAGGTTACCAAATGACAGCAGCAGGAACACTTGTCCCAGGCCAGCTTCTTCCCAGCTTTTACCCTATCCAAACTCTCAATAACCTCATTATCACTACCCAGGCACTGAATAGGCACCACTGAGGGCTGCTGAGGGTTGGAGGAGCACTGTCCTTGTCACCTCTCCATGATGCACTGAAGGACAGGAGTAACAAACAGCAGGCCAAGGCCTGATAAGGTTGGGTTTTTTATTATTTTCCCTCCGGTCCTGGGGTTTGAACTCTAAGCCTGGGCGCTGTCCCTGAGCCTCTTTGTGCTCAAGGCTAGCATTCTACCACTTGAGCCACAGTACCACTTATTGCTTCTGTGTATGTGGTGCTGAGGAATGGAACCCAGGGCTTCATGCATGCGAGGCAAGCACTGGACCATGAAGCCACATTCCCAGCCTGGAGCAACCTTTTAAATACTTCATCTTAAAAGGCCAGTGATAAGAGTGTGGTCTACATCTTCACAGCCCAGGATCAGTCCTCATCACTGGAAATAAAAATGTATCTTACTAAAGTCCCTGTAGTTCCCTGTGTGCCAAGAATTGCTGAGGGTCTCTTGGACCCTTTCCTGCTTTTTAATGCATATTTTATTACCAAGAAAATCAAATCAAGAGCCTTTTATTCCTTAAGTTCAAAAAGCTTCTTTATGACTCACTACCAATCAACTCCAACTATCTACTTAACCATATTCCACAAAGACAACCTTTCCAACCATTTGAGAATTACCATCCATGCCCCAGTTATCAAACAAGAAAGCAAAAACATCTGAGAAGGTGCTGTGTGAGGACCTGGACTACAACGAGGAACTGCTCGTGGTTCTGCTAGGTGTATCTCCCATCACAAATCCCACACAAAGTCAGTTTCAACATAGATGCCCAAACTAGGATCAGGCTGGTTGTGACCTATTGTCTCTGAAGTCTCTCTCCAGGCAGAATGCACCCTGAGGGCAGGGCCAGATTCTCACTGTGCTTGTCTCCTGCGTGTTAACTGGTAACCACCATGCTTGGCTTATTTGTTAACATACGACCTCCCTGAGTAGCTAAGGTTAAAGATGTGCCTCTCAGGGCCTTGTGCTCTCACATGGCATATTTCTTTACTGAGATTAAGCAACTACATAAATTTCACAATTCTGTGGCATAGTTATACTTAGCTAAAGTCACAAACACCTTTTAATCTTCAAAATGATAGTCATCATTATCTTAATCTACATAGCTTATGAACTCTATGACTTTTAACAATAAAACTATTTTTTTTTTTTTTGGTCCGGTCGTGGGGCCTGAACTCTGGGCCTGGGCGCTGTCCCTCAGCTCTTCAGCTCAAGGCTAGCGCTCTACCACTCACTTGAGCCACAGCGCCACTTCCGGCTTTTTTCTTTTTGCTTATGTGGCGCTGAGGAATCGAACTCAGGGCCTCAGGCATGCAAGGCAAGAGCTCTACCACTGAGCCACCTTCCCAGCCCCTAAAACTATTTCTTACAAATCAAGTGATATGTATCTTTCTTTTCTTTGGCTTAGTATCAACTTAGTATCTTTCTCTTTCATTCCTTCCCTCCCCTCACTGCTCTTGAGTTGCTTAGTTCTCTCACTTGCTTTTCCACTCAAGATTGGCATTCTACCACTTGAGCCATAACTTCACTTCTGGTGTTTTTGTGTGTGTGGTTTATTGAAGAGACAGACCTTTCTGCTTGGGCTGGCTTTGAAACTCAATCCTTAGATCTCAGTCTCCTGAGATCACAGGTGTGAGCCACTAGCGCCTGGTGGGCTCTAATTGAATATTTAATATTACTTGTCATTTAATATTGCTTGTTCTCTCACAAGAACAAGGGACATACACAGTGAAAAGTACTTTCCTTGCTCAAGAAATATCCAAGCTCTTTCTTGAGCTATGTGGTTCACAGGCTAAATCCCTGCAGGTCTGCAAACCTTTTGAGCAGCAAACTAGTTTTCTTCTGTCTGAAGAAAGACATTCACAGGGCTGACGCAGAGTTTGTCAACAAGACACATGATGATCTGACAAATCGAGCCTTTATGCCCCTTCTCTGCCTGGGGAACAGGGAATGTTTCTTTCTCTCTTCTTTATCCTGTTATGCTAAAATAAATTCTGCTGGAACTTCTACCCTGTGAGACTCTCCTTGTTGCGAGACACCTAGAGGTTCACTACATGGCATCTAGAGTTCCTCCTTATTGCTCACTCATCCTGTGAGACAGACTGGCAACCTCGACATAGGAGTTGAATCTCAAAGGTTTGGATTACTTCTCTAAGATATTTACAACCAAATTCATAGAAAACATCTCTAGCAATGAAAGAATAACAATACCTTCTGGTACTGATCCATGGCAGCCTATTAACTGAATTTTCTGCCAACTGATTTTCCATGTTCCCTTCTAACTAAGACAGGGAACAGAATTTTTGGTTCTTGTTCTAGATTGGGTCAGAAGTCCACTCTCAGCACAAATATCAGCTACAAAAAAATGGAACTTAACTCTCTGTAACTTCTTTTAAGGTTAAAGAGACACAAGTTATTTTGTAAGGGGAATGAGACAGTATAGCTAAGGAGAGAGGGAAATTAAAGCTCCTGTAATCCTAGCTACTCAGGAGGCTGAGATCTCAGGATCACAGTTCAAAGCCAACCCAGGCAGGAAAATCCATGAGATTCTTATCTGCAATAAGCCACCAGAAAACCAGAAGTGGCGCTGTGGCTCAAGAGGTAGAGCATTTGCCTTGAGTTGAAGAGCTGAGCAACAGCGCCCAGGCCCAGAGTTCAGGCCCCACGACCAACTTGAAAAAATAAAAAAAGCAACACCACTTTCAGTCTTCATTCCCCGCTTTCTATATGGGGAGCAGGAAATGCCCCCCATTTCTACTTTATCCTGCTATACTAAAAATAGGCAGAGGTACCTTGCTGTTGATATTTCAAAGAAAACTCTTTTTGCTGTTCTACAACAGTAATGTGGCATGAACTCATTTGATACTCAGTTTAGGCCTAGGTGTAATGCTTCAAACCTATAATCCCAGTAAGCCAGGAGGTGGGGATTGGAACGTGTAAGGCAAAGAGTCAGTGAGACTCCATCTGAACCAACAGCTGGTGGCAGGCACCTGTCATTCCAGCTACATGGTCCATGTACATGGAGAACCATGGTCCAGAACACTCCAGGGAAAATGCCAGGCCCTATCCCAGAATAACTGAAGCAAAAAGGATAGGGAGTGTTTCTCAAGTGGTGGAGTGCCTCTGCAACAAGCCTGAGGCTGAGGTTAACCCTAGTGCCACAAGCAAAACAAAACAATGATCCAGCCAAGGAGGTGTTGCACGCTTGAATCTCAGTTACTCGGGAGGTGGAGGCAGGAGAATCCAGAGTTTAAGGGCAGCCTGGGAGAAGTTAGCAAGACACTATCTCAAAAAAAAAAATTAGAAAGGGTTCAGAGTGCAGCTCACATTGTAAAGGCCTTGCCTGGCAGCCCAAGGCCCTGGATTTAAACCCTAGCATCAGATATGCGCATAATTATTCAGCTTTAAGATGTAGTTTAAGTCTTTAAGGTTGGCTGCGAATGTGGCTTAGTGGTAGAGTTTTTGCCTAGCACGCATGAGGCCCTGGGTTCAATCCCTCAGTACCACATAAAATAAATTTTAAAAAAAGACTTTAAGGCCGGGCACCAGTGCCTCATGCCTGTAATCCTAGCTACTCAGGAGGCTGAGATCGGAGGATCATGGTTCAAAGCTAGCACAGGCAGGAAAGTCTGTGAGACTCTTATCTCTGCTTAACCACCAGAAAACCGGAAGTGGTGCTGTGGCTCAGGTGGTAGAGTGCTCACTTTGAGCTGCAGAGCTGAGGGACAGCGCCCAGGTGCAGAGTTCAAGCCCCATGATGGAAAAAAACAAAAACAAAACTTTAAGGTTGAGTTTGTTACTAGCTTAGGAAAACTTCAAAGAATGAAGTAGAAAACCGACAGGCAATCTCAGTGTCGTGGCTGTCGTTCAAGCCTGGCCTCAGGTCTATCAGGCATCTCAGAAGCAGCCAACTGGGCTCTTCACATCGAAACAGCAGATTGCATTAGAATCATTTTCCATAGCCTGGCTGCCTGACATTGGGGAAAAATATGCACTAAATGTGCATTATGACCTAATAGAAAATAATCTTGTTTTCTTTCATGTGTTTACAAGTTAGTATAAAAGAGGAAAGTATACACAACCTAGACCAGAAGCAGCAAGGACACTCGCAGTCCTGGGACTGCCATCTGCCTTCCCAGTCCCTGTGACTGCTAGCAAGCTCTCCTGGAGGCCCTAGGAGAACAGCAGTATAAAGAGCCATGGAACGGGGGCTGGGAAGGTGGCTCAGTGGTAGAGCGCTTGCCTTGCATGCATGAGGCCCTGGGTTCGATTCCTCAGCCCCACATAAGCAGAAAAAGCTGGAAGTGGCGCTTTGGCTCAGGTGGTAGGGCGCTAGCCTTGAGCTGAAGACCTGAGGG